TCTTATTAACTTTAGGTAGTTGGAAATTATGGGAAATAAGTTGTCTATGATATTTTTAGTATTATTATGTTGGTTACATGTCAATCTTGTTGAGGAAATTGGTAACTAGAAAATGAAATGGCTATAAAGCACTTGGAAGTTGTCGACAATGATAATATCTTGTGTTGGCTATTTCGGGTAACTTTAAAATTGAGTACAAGGTTGGAAATCCTTTAAAATGTATTTATTATACTAGGTATATTACTAAGTTTAATAATGAATGATATTTGGGTTGAAGGGTGCTAAAGGGATTCAATCCGAGCTAGCCACTCGTTGTGATATGTTGATGACTTGGTAAGAAGTATTTTGTACTCTATTGTTGATGTTGTTCTTATTGAATTTCTCTGATTGTTGTTATTGGTATATGGTATTGGAGGAGGCCCTTGTTATAATGTAGATGTTGCCCATACATAAACAAGCTACTAGTTTAAGTAGCGTACGTAGCCTTTACTCAACACTGATTTTAAATCTCCTTATGCTATGACAGATTGAGTTGAGTTGTTTGAATAACTTCTTGGGAGGTATTAAGGACTCAGCGGATTTAAGGTATGTTAAGGCAAAGCTTTTCCTTCATTTTGGCATGATCCCGTAACTACATGTGTTTGATAATGAGACATAAAGAGAAGTTCGTATTCCTAAACTTATGTACATTATCCTAGTCTCATAAGTTATATTATTCTTCCTTATTGGGACTTTATATTCAGTTTAGCATTGTCTTCTTTCAGCCAAGAGAGCAGAGTCTATATAAATACAGTATTACAATATTTTTTCCACCATCGAGCTATAATCGGTGGGCAAGCCCCTATTGGGCAATCTTATATTAGAAGGTAATTTATATACTGAGCCTACTATGACCGAGCGCCTATGAGAAAGACCAAAATAGCTAAGATACAGAGCCTAATATAGCCAGGTGCCTATGAGCGAGCCTAATACGACAGAGTAGTTACACATACCGAGACTTATAGGGTTGGACAACTATTTTACTTACTATATTGAGAGAGTTGAATCAGTATTAGTAGGTAAGAATATCCTCAGATTATCTTTGACTCCCAGTTACTTTAAGCTATTATATTATCAGTTCAATTTCAACTTTTAGCTATTCTACTGCCTTACATACTCGGTACATTATTTTGTACTGATGTCCCTTTTGCTAGGGACGCTATATTTCATGCCTGTAGGTCCTGATAGACAGTTGGATAGACCATCCCAAAAGACAGATTCAAACATTAGCNTATATATATATATATATATATGGGTAGTTTGAGGCCCTTTTCCCATCCATAATACAATTCAGTTATCTCTATAGGCTAGTAGACGAGTCTTATATATTTTGTATATCAATATTGTGGACTTGCCAACCCTATGTACATATTAGTATTGCTGGTTATAGGCATTTATGGTGGCCTTGTCAGCCTTGATTTGTAAGGTAGGCCTTGTCGGCCTAAGTTGAGGGTTACACCTCCAGAGTTCACAGTTATAGAGTGGTACGCTTGGGCCAAATATGGCACCGAATTCCAGCCACACCTCCCTAGGTTTGGGGCATGACAAACTTGGTATCAGAGCAATTCTATCCTAGGGAATCTACAAGCAGTGTCTAGTAGAGCCTTGTTTATAGATGTGTTGTGCACCACATTATATAAACAGAAAGCTATAAGGCATTTAGGGGTTTGTTACCCTTCTTTCCAATCTTAATAGTGCTTTAGAGCTGAGTGATAAGAGTTCAAGCCAGGTCTTTTGTTTACTAATGATATAAAGATGTTTGCAATTAGAAAATCAGCTAACCATAGGGCTAATACAACAGCAGGTAAGGGCACTAGTAGAGATATCCCAAAGATTCGGGATTTAGATACCACGTATCGTATCCTGAAAGCAGTCTTCGAGATATCTGAATCCTGAATCTTTAATTGACATGCTGCCGCCTTGAGTAGAAAGCTTGAGACTATGTGCAATTTTGCATATTTACCAGCAGTAAAGAGGACACTGGCCATAGATGTTCTTCTTTGACCAATCAGTTTGTGAGATTGAATATTTCGGAGCCTAGTCGGGTTCTTGCATGCATGGTTTCTCGGTCTCCTTGTATGAGCGCTGATAAATGACTAAAAATGCACATTTTCTAGTATAGTTTCATATCATTTTGTATGTGAGTTGTGGGAAATCACATGTTTATAAATGTGAAATATAATCATTATGTGTATATCATGTGTAGGGGTAAATTTGGATGGAAGTTACCAGAAATTAGATGATTAGATGCAAAAGATAGAGTTGCAAAAGCTGGTAGTGTGCCACAATTGGTGTATTGCGTGAAGGTAGGCGCGAAATGGCTTGGAAAATAGATAAAAAAATAGCGAAGTATGGAGGTTGGCACTGGACCTGGCACGCGAAAGAACAAAGAAAAGGAAGAAATAACTGAGAGCGTGCTAGAAGTTGTGCGTTGCACCAACTCTGGCATGCGACTTAGTATATCCTTTTTGAATTAAAGGAGATCAAGGACGCCCCACATGAACCCTAATCAGTATAAATACAACTTCAAGCCATTTTTGAGGGATTTCACAATACTTTGGGAGGCAAGAATATACAAGGAGCAAGGCGGAGAATTCTTCTACGCGTTTTTCACGTTCTTCTTCTTATTTTCATTGTTGGTTATGACTTTATATATTGTAATCTTACATAGTAGTATGAGTAGATAAACGTATCATCTTGGGTTGAATGAATCAATTGTTGGATGAAGTCTTGATTGCGTTTTGATATAATTAAGCCGTTTTTACTCTATAATTGTTCAACTATGTGTTTCTTGTGGTTAACTGAAGGGCCCTTGATTAATCGTGTCTAGTAATCTTGTGTTGCTTGAGAGAGAACATTTGATTTGACTGTTGTTGAACAACACCACTTTCGACTAGGTTAAGAGATTAATTACTTGAATTTAAAAGCGGGATTAGAAATAACGAACCTTCGGCGTGTTATTTATGAGTTGTATAAATTGTCAGCTAGAGTAGTTCGAGAGAGTATTTTAGTAAATAACGTAATCGATCGAGAGATAATTGCGGTAAATAAGAACTCATCATCTTTAGAGAGTATTGCGGCGAGATTATAGCTAACATGTTAGGAATTAATCCGACAATTAGGGAAATCATAAACCGTAGATTCTTTTATCCTTGAATTCAACTTCATTCTTGCTCATTGATAGTTTTTATTGTCATTTTTCCTTAGTTAAATAATATTTTGTTAATTCTCAAATCAAATCTTGAACTCTGAAAGTTGTCTGAGCTTATCATTAGCGATACTAAAAGTTGTAGCAAATAGGTTTGTTCTCTACGGGATTCGACTCCGGACTCTTGAACCGGATTATTTTTGCAGCGACCGCTTAGTACTTTTATATGGCGTAGTTGGGTGTGATCAAAATTTTGGCGCCATTTCTGGTGAACTAACAGTGTTATTCATTACAAATTCAAAGAATTTCTAGGATTTTTAGTTTAGATCTATTTTCTGTGGTGCTAAAATATTTCTGTTGAAATTCTCACATTTGAACTCTTCTGTGCCTCAGATGCATGCCAGAAACTCCTTGAGAACTGATGAACTCTTTGAAGGACTCTCAGATCCCGAAAAAGCATTTAGGATATTGAATTGGGCTAAAAAATAGAGCAAACAGCTAAAACAAAACAAACAACTCGAAATTGTAATGGGTGACATCGACAACGTCAACAGGAACAACAAAAATAATCAAGTTGGCCCAAACATTGGAGTGGTAGCACATCTTGTGCCAGAATCTGCTCTATATGATTGGGCACAACCAATTGCTAACAATTTGGCAACTGGAATTGCAGTCCCTCTGATACAAGCGGAGACATTTCATATTACCAACAACATGCTGTATTTGCTGCAGAATAAAGGGTTGTTCTCTGGGTCGTACATCGAAGACCCACAACAACATCTGTAGAATTTTCTATCAATTTGTGTCACTCAAAGATAGCCGAATGTGACACCCGAAGCAATCATATTGTTACTGTTACCATTCTAAGTGACTGGGAAGGCTCAAAATTGGTTGAATTCTCTCCCAATAAACTCCACGTGTACGTGGGAGGAACTAGTCAAGCAGTTCCTAAACAAGTTTTATCCACCCAACAAGAGTGCAAGGCAAATTGATGAGATATTGCAGTTCAAGCAGAAACCAACTGAAACTTTGCAGGAAACTTGGGAGAGGGTTAAGGGCATGTTGGTGAAGTGTCCACAACATGGAATCCCGGAACAGATGCTAGGACAGAGATTCTATATGGGTTTGGCTGATAGTCTGAAGGCCAATGTAAGTTCTTCAGTCGGGGGTGCATTTTTGAGCAAATCATTCACAGAGTGTAAGATTCTTATTGACATGATGGCTCAAAATTAAGGCTGGATGACGAGGGATACAACACCCACTCCAACAGTGCACTCTGTTGCTCTTGACCAAAACAATACAGATGTAGAAAAAATAGCCACTCTCATGACTCAGATGAGCTTGTTGACAAAGAAAATTGATGAGATAGACACGGAACAGGTTCATATTGTTGACACAACAATGGAGGCCTATGCACTCCCCTCATAAATCAGTCATATATTTGCTCGTGGAGTAGAGAGAATGATAACCAAGGCTTTAGAGAAGACTTGAATTATGTCAATAATTTTAGGGGTCAGAGGTAAGGTGGACAACAATGGGGACCTCAAAATCAGCAGTACAGACCAGCTCAGCAACAGTACAATACCAAGTCATGCCCTATCAAAGGCAACAGGGCTACAATCAGCAGCACCAACAATAGTTGGCTTACCAACCACCTGATCAACAATAGGTGACCAGACAGCGCAAAAATAATATGATAAAAATAAAGGGCATCTTGCAACAAATCATTGGGACAAATAGAAGGATGCAATAAAAGTCAGCTCCACATGACTCGGCTATTAAAGGCATTGAAACTCAGTTAGGCTAAATGTCCATGGCTTTGAACAATCTCCCACAAGGAACGTCGCCTGTAAACACAAACATCATTCCAAAAGAGCAGAACCCAAATAAGTTAATGGTAATGAGTCCCGGGAATGGAAGGGATTTATACAGAGAGCAAGAAGTTTCTCAATCTAGTAGAGATGCAGTGCTAATTACACCAGTGCTAGTCGAGATCGATGAGTCAACGGAGCTCACAGAGGTTGTAATTGAGCAAGCACAAGTTGACAAAGGCAAAGATAAGAAAATTGAATATCTCCCAGAACATGTAATGGAAAAGACCTCCAATTAGGAAAAGACACAGAGTAGTGGACATGAGCTGATTCCACCACCATACCCTAAAAGGTTGGCAAAGCAAAAGAAGGATGATCAATATAGGAAATTCATGGAAATGCTCGGACAAATTCAATTGAATGTTCCGCTGATGGATGCTTGGAGGGAAAGGCCAAGCTATACAAAAATGATGAAGGATATGATGTCTCGAAAGTTTGACTTCCAGGACATGTCGACTTTAACTCTGACTCAAACTTGTAGTGCGGTAGTGACAAGACCTATGGCTAAAATATTGTCTTATCCCGGTACTTTCACTATCCCAAGAACAATTGGAAGTTATTCTTTAGCTAAAGCATTGTGTGACTTGGGAGCCAGTATTAACCTGATATTAGGCATTGGCAGATCTAGACCGACCTTAATGTTGCTACAGCTAGCTAATTGCACAGTGAGAATGCCGATAGGAATTTTGGATGATGTGCACATCCAAGTGGGGAATTTTGTTTTTCCTGCCGATTTTGTGATTCTTGACTTCCAGATTTACGAAGAAATACCCATAATCTTGGGAAGGCCATTCTTATCCACTAGAATAGAGTTGATTGACCGTGAGAGTTGAGATTTGAAAATGAGGTTGAATAATGAAGAAATAATATTCAGTGTTCAACAATCTATGAGGAGGCCGAGCGAATCTGCAAATTGTTCGCTAATGGAGGCAGTTAATGTTATACTACAAGATAAGGATGTGTCTCTTAATGTCAGAGACTCGTTAGAAGCTTGCTTGATGAATTTGGAAGATGTGGATGGTAAAGAGTTGGCAGAGTGGGTCATGGCTCTAGAAGGTCAAGGGTTCTAGAAAAGGGAACCCAAGTTCGAGCCACTAGACTTAGAAGAAAGAGAAACACCACTTGCGAAGCCATTAATAGAGGAGCCACCACAATTGGACCTGAAACCGCTTCTAGCTCACCTCATATATGCTTTCTTAGGGACTAACTCCCCTTTACCTGTTATTATCTCATTCGGTTTGTTAGCTGTGCAGGTAGAACAAATCCTACAGGTGTTACAGGAATGTAAGACCGCTATTGGTTGGACCATGGCAGATATTAAGGGTATCAGCCTGGCTTTTTGCATGCACAAGATTCTCTTGGAAGAGGGGAATAAACCTTCCAAGGAACATCAAAGAAGATTGAACCGAACATGAAGGAAGTGGTGAAGAAGGAAGTGATTAAGTGGCTGGATGCGGGCATCTTTTTCCGATCTCGGATAGAATCTAGCTAAGCCTAGTCCAATGTGTCCCGAAGAAAGGTGGTATGAATGTTGTACAAAATTAGACTAATGAGTTGATCTCTACTCGTACAGTCACTGACTGGCGAATTTGGATGCATTACATAAAACTAAACACTGCCACCTGGAAACACCAATTTGCCCTAACATTCATTGACTAAATGCTAGATAGATTGTTAGGGAGGTCTCACTTCTGCTTTTTGGATGGATATTCGGGGTATAATCAGATCACAATAGCCCTTGAGGATAGAGAGAAAACGTCAATTACTTGTTCGTATGGCATTTTGTTCCATTCGGAGAATGTCGTTCGGCCTATGCAATGCACCAGCCATCTTTCATTGTTGTATATTGGCCATTTTCACTGATATGGTTGAAGATATTATGGAAGTCTTTATGGATGATTTCTCAGTGGTGGGTAATTCATTCGATGACTGTCTTTACAATTAGAGAAGAGTGTTGATAAGGCGTGTGGAGGCAAACCTGGTGCTGAATTGGGAGAAGTCCTATTTTATGGCACAAGAAGGTATAGTTTTGGGAGATCGAGTGTCATGTAAGGGTATTAAGGTCAACCAAAAATGCACCCCCGACTGAAGAACTTACATTGGCCTTCAGACTATCAGCCAAACACTAAGCAATTGGTTTAGAAAGTGTTTTATATCTAAATGCGGAAATAAACTAACATAGAAAGCAAGTAAAATGATCAAAGGCTACAAGTATGGATGCATCAGAAATTACACTCAAGTAACGATCCAATGTATTTCACGATTTTACAAATTTGAGTGAGTCTATGTTAATTAGCCACGGATAACAATTCTTAATTAGCTTCTCCCGAAGACTAACAAGACTTTCTAATTGAATTATCCCTAAAACAATTAAGAGATTAAGCACACCCGGAATAACTACAAGTATTTCAATCCTATCCCTAGGTAGAATCTATAAAATGAAGGTTAAAACCTCAAGTTCTTGTTAATTAATCTTTCCCAACCCCAAATTATCTTTTCTAATATTTATTCGGAGTTAATGAGCGAGTCCTAGGGTTAGATAATCCCTTTGGAAATATTAAAGAACAAGAATAATTAAAGAAACAACAACTCACTTCATAAAAAGATAAAAATCATTCAATACATAAGCACAACAAGGTATTTAATCCACACTTTAAACATGAATATTTCCATAAACAAGATTCAAGCATTGAATGAAATACTACACACTTAGATATACAATACAAAGCAAGGAAATGAAGAAATAAACATAAATGGGTAAGAAAATCTTAACCAAAAGCTTCAAATCTTCAAGACCAAAGTATGTGTGCAAAGCCCTAACTTCCAAAAATTGTTCTCTCTAGCCCTAAGAACTGAAAATAAGAGAAAGGATCCATTACAAATGAGCTAGTTTGGGTATTAAAGGGTTTGGGGTCAAAAATGTAAAATTCCAAAACTGTTGAGTTTTCACGCCAAGTTTCTTCATCGTGTTCGCGACCATACCTTCCCATTCGCTAAGGATTCGTAATCTCAGCGTCTGCGTTTGCGTTTAGTCCTTCGCACCCCCGACTTTAACTCTGACTCAAAAATGCACCCCCGACTGAAGAACTTACATTGGCCTTCAGACTATCAGCCAAACACTAAGCAATTGGTTTAGAAAGTGTTTTATATCTAAATGCGGAAATAAACTAACATAGAAATCAAGTAAAATGATCAAAGGCTACAAGTATGGATGCATCAGAAATTACACTCAAGCAACGATCCAATGTATTTCACGATTTTACAAATTTGAGCGAGTCTATGTTAATTAGCCACGGATAACAATTCTTAATTAGCTTCTCCCGAAGACTAACAAGACTTTCTAATTGAATTATCCCTAAAACAATTAAGAGATTAAGCACACCCGGAATGACTACAAGTAGTTCAATCCTATCCCTAGGTAGAATCTATAAAATGAGGGTTAAAACCTCAAGTTCTTGTTAATTAATATTTCCCAACCCCAAATTATCTTTTCTAATATTTATTCGGAGTTAATGAGTGATTCCTAGGGTTAGATAATCCCTTTGGAAATATTAAAAAACAAGAATAATTAAAGAAACAACAACTCACTTCATAAAAAGATAAAAATCATTCAATACATAAGCACAACAAGGTATTTAATCCATACTTTAAACATGAATATTTCCATAAACAAGATTCAAGCATTGAATGAAATACTACACACTTAGATATACAATACAAAGCAAGGAAATGAAGAAATAAACATAAATGGGTAAGAAAATCTTAACCAAAAGCTTCAAATCTTCAAGACCAAAGTGTGTGTGCAAAGCCCTAACTTCCAAAGATTGTTCTCTCTATCCCTAAGAACTGAAAATAAGACAAAAGATCCATTACAAATGAGCTAGTTTGGGTATTAAAGGGTTTGGGGTCAAAAATGTAAAATTCCAAAACTGCTGAGTTTTCACGCCAAGTTTCTCCATCGTGTTCGCGACCATACCTTCCCATTCGCTAAGGATTCCTAATCTCAGCTTCTGCGTTTGTGTTTAGTCCTTCGCATTCGCGAAGGTTCAAGTTCTAATTCATCACGTTCGCGAAGGTCTAGCTCCTGCTTCTTCGCGTTCGTGAAGGTCTGGTTCCTGCTTCTTTGCGTTCGTGATGTACCTTCGCGTTCGCGAAGAGTAAATCACTGGGCAGGTTCTCCTTGTCCATTTTAGCTCCTTTTTTTACTTGTTTTCACTTGGTTTCTTCACCATTACTTCTAATACAACCTGTAAAATAGAAGTAAATGACATTAAGTACACGATTTTATCACTCAAACATAGCAAATGTATAGGTTTAAAGACAAGATAAGTTGGTAAAATACCAACTTATCAGAGCTGAAGAAGAGACTGGTGACTACACCAATCATCGTTGCACCGACTAGGAGAAACCGTTTGAGCTCATGTGTGATGCGAGTGACTTTACTATAGGAGCAGTTATGGGGCAACAAAAGGACAAAATGGTGCACCCAATTTACTATGCAAGTAGAATACTAATCGGTGCACAACTAAATTATACCGTGATTGAGAAAGAGATGTTGGCTGTGGTGTTTGCATTTGAAAAATTCAAGTCTTATTTGATTGGTTCAAAAGTGATTGTTTATACTGACCATGCAGCACTTAGGTACTTGATAGCAAAGAAGGAGTCAAATGCACGCTTGATCTGTTGGGTTCTTTTGCTACAAGAATTCAATTTAGAGATCCGCGATAGTAAAAGAACGGAGAACCAAGTGGTAGGTCACCTTTCAACGTTGGAAGGAGCTGAAAAGAAAGTAGAGGTTGAAGATATATCAGAGAGATTCCAAGATGAACAATTACTAGCATTGGCAATGTAGGAGACGCCTTGGTATGCTGTTATTGCCAATTATTTGGGAAGCGATATTGTACCTTATAAACTCTCTTCGATTCAAAAAGAAAGTTCTTTCGTGATTGTTGGTCTTATTACTGGGATGAACCTTTACTTTTTAAAATATGCGTGGATAACATAATCCGGAGGTGTATCCTCGAGAAAGATCAATCTTCTGTTTTGAAGGCTTGCCACACTTTACCATATGGTGGGCACTTTGGAGGAATTCAGACAGGTGCGAAGGTATTGGAGACGGGTTTATATTGGCCGACTTTATTCAAGGATGCCCATGCCTAGGTGAAAATTTGTGATGACTACCAAAGGACCGGAACCATATCTCATTGTCACGAGATGCCGATGACTACAATTCAAGAGGTGGAAGTGTTTGACGTGTGGGGGATTGATTATATGGGACCATTTGTTAGCTTGTATGGTAACAAGTACATATTGGTAGCAGTTGACTATGTCTCCAAATGAGTTGAAGCGGTGGCTCTTACAACAAATGATTCCACAGGAGTGATATGATTTCTAAGAAAAAATATTTTACACGGTTTGGCATTCCGAGAGCTATAATCAGTGATGGTGGAACCTATTTTTGAAATAGAGTATTCGCAAAGCTGTTAGAAAAGTATGAAGTTCGCCATAAGGTTTCCACACTTACCACCCTCAAACTAGCGGGCTAGTGGAAATGTCCAACAGGGAAATCAAAAGTGTCCTAACCAAGACAGTGAATGCAACTCAGACTGATAGGGCAAGGAAGTTGGATTATGCATTATGAGCTTACTACACAATATTTAAAACTCCAATTAGTATGTCTCCGTACAAGTTGGTGTTTGGAAAAACATGCCATCTTCCGGTAGAGCTTGAGCATAAAGCCTTATGGGCATTGTGGCAGTTGAACTTGGATATGGAAACCGCAGGCACAAGTAGAGTTACAGAGTTACATGAACTCGTGGGGTTCCAGGCATTT